CTGTAAACCACAGCAACTGAAGATCTGGCACACCGCGCCATCTAGTGGCAACAGCCAAAGACTGAAACCATAGCACCTAAGCAGCTTTGTGCTGGCGCAACCGCATTGACACCCACGACTAGCCAGCCGTCGGCACTAGACGCATTAGCATCGCAGATAACGGCGCTTGATCCCCAGACCGGTGAGCTCACTCTAAACAGTAAGCAGCGCAGATTCTCTGGATTATCACTCCGTCGCACATAACATGAGGTGCCAGATTACGGCTTTTACCACGCGTGTTTCGAACATAAACACCGTAGGCGTGTGAAACCATGTTTCTATTGCGCTACAGATGATCAGCCATGCCGGCCCGTAATGGCCACGAACCACGTCGGCAAAACTCAAAGCCATCTCATCTACATTAAGGATTATGATTCCGAGACCCAGTTCTTAGTTTATACCGGGACGGAAGTCAGCGTCCTCCCTATGCCGGGTGAGCTTACCGCTTCTTTGTCGACATGTCTAAGTGCTGCCAATGGGACACCGATAGCCACCTACGATCATTGGTCGCTTACCCAAGTCCTAGGTCTTCCGTGCACATGCTGCTGGGTATTTACTGTTGCTGCAGCCCAATTTGCCATCATCGGTTGATGCGAAACGCCAGATGATAGTCGACAATACAACGAAAATCAGTGTAGGTGTTATCACCGCCGATACCACATCCATCACCCCGGTCCACGTCTTGCCCCAGACCTCGCCAGACTACGCAAACCAATTTTCCCAGTATTCTAAGCCCCTTCAGTCAATGAACGCACCTTTACCCGTGGCATCCCAAGTCACGCACCACCTAAGAACGAATGGCTTACCAGTCTCATGCCGTGCACGCCAACTATCGCCCGGGAAACTTAAGTTAGCTGGGGCGGAGTACGAGCACTTGCTCAAAGTTGGAATAATCTGCCATTCCGACAGCCCTTGATCCTCTCCCTTGCAGATGTACCTAAGAAACCCGGTGACTGACGCTCTTGTAGTGATCGCCGAGCACTCAATCAATTAACCGTCCGGGCTAGATATCCTATCACGCACATGTAGGACTTTACCACGTGCCCCACAGGTAAGACGATCTTCAACAAAATCGAACTGGTTCGCGCCTATGACCAGATACCTGTAGAAAAAATGGACATTCCTGAAACAGCAGTTATCCCTCCTTTCGGTTTGTTTGTAATGTTAAGGTTGCTTTTCGTACTGTGCAACGCCACACAAAATTTGCAACGCTTTATCCACAACGTCACTCGTGGACTAGGGTTCGCTTATTCTTGATGAAAGTTTAGTAACCAGTTCATAGGAAGAAGAGCATCGCGACCAACCTCGAGCTCCCTTCCAGCGCTTGATGCAACACGGTGTCACAGTCAACCCGACTAATTGCGAACTCGGCAAATCAACGGTAGAATTCCTAGGCCACCTCGTTTGGTCATCTGGTATCGAAGTCCTTCCAAGCAATGAAGGATTTCCCAGCTTCGACTTCATTTAAACATCTGCGTCGAATCTGGGGCTTAGTCAAATACTACCAACGCTTCATTCCGCCCTGCGCTCAGCTAAGGCAGCCTCTGACTGACTTACCCAGAGGGTATGAACTTAAGTTCGCATGCCCGGACACAGCACAGACAGTCTACACCGAGGTCAAGGCAGATGTCACCAACATAGCTACTCTCGCTCATTCCGAATCCACTGCACCCCTTTCTATTACAACTGATGCCTCGGACGTCGCGGTCCTCCAACAACACGTTGGTGGGCAAGGTTAACCCCTTGGGTTCTTCTCCAAATGCCTGCAGCCAGCGGAATACCGCTAGAGCACCTTTGGCACAGAACTGCTAGCCATCTATTTAGCTATTCGTCAGTTCTGGCACACACTCGAAGGCCGCGCTTTCACGGTCTACATTGACCATAAGCCCCTCATCTACGCCATCAACCCAGCTTGTGACAAATATTCACCACGGGAAACAAGATACCTCGACTCTGTCACGCAGTTCACTGCTGACATACGGCATGTCTCAGGTGTCGACCATCCCTCCGCCGACGCTCTCTCACGCGTCAACCACACTCTCCAGTCTTTGCTTACCGTTGACTTTGCGGCCATGGCGTCCGCTCAAGTTCAACATGAAGACACAACGCACTCTGCAGTCCACTTCGCGGCATGTGCAACCTGTTCCTCTCTAAACCACGGAAGAAGCCATCCTCTTTGACACTTTCACAGGCTGTTCTAGACCCCTCGTTCCCGTCTTCTTTAGACGCACAGTCTTCGACGCACTACGCACTATCACATCCCTGTATGCGTGCAAATTTGAAACTGGTCACCGAACACTTCATTGGGCTACGCGTAAACTAAGATATTCGTATCTAGCCTGGCGATTACCTACATTGCCAGCACTCCAAAATACTTCGTCACATCCGCAGTCCCCTTGGCTCATTTCATGCCCCGGAGTCTCGACTCTCGCATACACAATTGACCTAGCAGGTCCCTTGTCTCCTCCATGCGGATGCATAAACATTCTTACATGTATTGACCGCTTCAACAGGTAGCAAGAAGCCATTTCCGTAACATTGCACAGCTGTAACTGTTATCCGGGTCTTCTTAGATCGGTGGGCCTCACACTATGGATGCGCATTCGCCATTACAACTGAGGTAGAACGCCCGGTGAATCGTTACAATTCGATACGGTCTACAGCTTCACAGGCTGCCTCCGCATCCATAACACAGCTTCTCACTCAACGGCCAACGCATCAGGCGAACGCTACCATAAACGGCTAAAAGCTTCGCTCTGCGCCACCTTTGACCCTAGCTGGAACAAAAACATATCAACCCTACGCTTAGACATTCGTAATAGCATCAAAGCCGATGGAAATTGGGTGTTGCACGCCCGCAGTGACCTAGGTTCACTTCAATTTGAATCGAGGTACACAATGAGATTGCGCGTCGCAATCCAATCACACAACGTGTAATCCAAAATGCACCCTCCAGTTAGCAGCAAAGCTGATTTGCAATGGACACCAGCAGACCTGGTTTACGGCACGACGCTCAAGTTGCCAGAGGAATTCGTTTCGCCTCCCGCATCGTCGGGTGTGCCTCCGCCTAACTTTACGTGCTCCGTAGCTCAACGGATACTTTCACTACGTCCTGTGAGCAGACGAGAGATGTGCAAATGCACGGCGGACTCGCTATCTGCACTTACGTCTTCCTCCGCACCGACGCCGTGCGGACGCGGAAACATTTCACTTTAGACTAGAATGATCACCGAACAACGGTGTGCATCGACTGCGTCAAAGTGGCTTTATTTCACGAACCATTTACAACCCACCTTGATGGTATCACACAAGCACTCGCACTTGCCGTGACTTCCGGAGCACTGAATATACCGAAACCTTGCGTTCCCATGACCCTCAAGCTACAGCGCCTCAACCCCAGACAGGTCAAACGTCTGGTCCGTATTTCCTATTTTATAAACACTTGCTATTTCCATCGACACGTCCTTTTCGTCTTTAGTGGTAATCGTGTGTCTCAATTATAAACGTTCTGCAAAATCAACAAAAATATCCCAAAATACTTTGAAAATCTAGAAATCGTATTTGATGTTATCATACTTGCTATGTACCCACTCCGGCGTCAAGCCACTCCTCCGACCCTCGCCCACCTCCTCTGAGTTCTACCTTCCAGAAACTCAACCAACGGAACTGCCAAGGCTAACCCCGATTAACTTGCCAGCCGGCGCAAGGCCCCTACCTGACCCAAGGAACAGTCAGTCGGCCACGACCGGATTGATCCTCAATCGCCTGGCTACGCGTTGCCGACCAGGACGCCCAGGTTTCTTCGTAAGACGAGGACGGTGGACTGAAGTGTGGTGGATTGAGTGACAACTCCCAAGCGCACCGTCGGGTCTGCAGCGGAGGAAACGTCCTGTCGGCCTTAGTTCTGGACTAGCTAGTTTATCTGCAGTCCGACCAGCCGGCCGCGACGGCTCACCGGTGATGCACTCTGGTTAACACGATCAGTATAAATAAGCAGAAAGACTGGACCCAGAGAACTCCGCTAAACAGGCAATCTTTGAAGCCCGTCTTCGCACCTGTCCCCGCCTCCCGTTTTTCCCCACTAACAGCTCCATCGAAGGCTTCCATCTTTCAGCCTTCTAGAGGAGATCCTTGTAGTGCAGCTGAAAACACACACTATCTGTACATTGTAACAGTGGATTTTATCGTTGTTTTAATCTCCAAAACGTCCACTTGTTTTAGTGACGACACCTTCGTTTTCACAAAACCGCTTTGATGAGTGCCGTGCTACGCCCTTTCTGGCTCTCGTTGATTTGCTTCCCATTTTTTTAGTCTGCACAATATAGGCTGAATGCAGCTGCCTCCAACTTCTTTACTGTCCCGTAATTGACACATCTCTTACGTGTCATTAGTACCGAGGAGTATCCAAAGCGCCACCCAACAGACTCATTGTCAGTGTCCCCAAAGGCAGCTAGTGAAACATGGTGTAGCAAGGTGTTGTAATACGCGATCGTGCTAGAGCTAGCGCTGCGATTTTTTCACTTTTTGGCCAGTTTCTACCAACTCCGTTGTTACTGCATGCAAGCATTTACACGCGTAGCAACGTAGGCCCAAAGTTGATACTTTTACGCCGTTCTGCTACGGACACTATCCTGAGGAACTTCTCCTTTACCAACCTTAAATCGTCCGACGCTCAAGCTTCTGGCGTTGCCTAATGCAAAGTGTACAATATACCGAAATCTGGATATCGAGCTTCTCTATACCTGGAAGAGGTGGATGTATATTAGATCCCCACATTTAGGTTCCTTTACAAGCCTATGGACAGCTGTCTGAGTATCAACCGACGATGAATATTAGGAAGTAATCAACGCGAGTTTACATTTTTCTCCTGGCATCCGAACGATGAGGACAACAGGGTACTTTTACAAAAAGGATTTTACAAACTACAAATCAGCATCATTTTCCTAGTAACGAACCATGTATTATCTTTTTACAGCACTGGTAGATGCTCTGACAAAAGTGATCACTGTTAGAAAACCAATAATAATTTCAAGTATATAGAAAATTAGCATACCAGCTGTGAAAATAACTTCAATGTGCAGGGTGTACGTCTGCCAAAATATCAACCAGGAACAGATCAACACGGTGGGTACCGATAGAAGCATAGACATACTAAGCGGGAATGCAGCTTCAAGTAGGTTTGATCGTTTCATTTCAAAGAGACGTACCAGATCCAAGAGACACAGAAATGCAAGTAGAATGACCTCACCGATAAAATAATTACTTGGATACAGTAGTGTCAAACCCTTGTATGCGTAAATGAACGATTGTGCGATGAAAAATATGTAGGAGTAAACTACATGGTAGTGCAGAACGATTTGCAATGGGAGAGATGCGAAGTTAGGTAGAATGTTGTGCTCGCTGATGTTGAATTTTGACTCTGGTTGGGACGTCATATCCAGGTTTAATATCCCTTGAATGTTCTGCAATGGGAAACAAATAGAAGTGATAGCATTATTATTTGCAGTTAATCAACCCAATTTCATGCCGGCGATGGGGTACCTGACTCCACTGGCAGATTTAAGCAGATCTATACAAGGAATGCACCATACGACTGATAAGCCAGTTTACGAACATGAACTTATGTGATCTAGGGGAACATTCTTTTCCGTCGTTTCTATCCGAATGTCTTACATGGACCATTAAATGATCGCATAACGTCAGGCATAATCTATCAAAAGCATGTTGCTACTGGTTGACTTAGACAAAGGTGGAAACCCATCGTAAACAGATGTTAAACATATTAAAGCAGCAAGTTCGAATCTACAAGTAAGTTTTGTTTTACTGCATGCTACTTTAAACAGAGTTTTCCTACTCCATGATCTCGTAATGGCAACAAGCCTACATCGTTATTAATCTAGGTTAAAATTTAGCAGACAGTCGAAAGTTGCCACCTTGTTCTCTGCCCATCGTGTGTGTTTATGCTAGCTGCAAGCAGTAATAATATCAGGTGACTGTCAATAATAAAGTTAAAAGATATTGCAGTATTTGGAATACCTCACTGCTTTGGCCAGTTTCAGTGGATAAGTAAAGCTGACCTTCGATTTCCCATTTGTAACAACGCGGTTACAGAAAGGTTCTGCATTCAAAAAACGTAAGGATCCGATCTATTGGAGCTGTCGTATCGCTACACATAGCAATATTTACGATCAATACTCACCAAAGTATTCTGTTCAGAATCGGATCGTGCGCTCGGTACAATTCAGCAAACCAATGCGGTCACTGGGAGTATACTGGACCTCTGTTCATTTGATCCGCATACTCCTTGTTTAGAGCAATTTCCAGCGGCTACAATTGTAACAAATCTCGTGTAAGCACACGCAATTTGAAACCCGTAAACTATCTGATGATCATTGAAACATGCTTTTGTAAATGTTCGCATCATCATATAACGACAAGTGTTGCAAACATTTTTCGTAATTCAGTCCTTGCTGTAAACTGGATTTTCTACAATTCACGCAAGACTTAGATCGGCAGTTGATACAAAGTGCATGTGGGTTAATTGCGAACTTTTTTATGTTACCCGCTGTGCCGTCTGTTTGAGCAATTTGTTATACGCATAAGGAGGACCTTTGACATAATTTCTCGAGTGGTTGTCACAGCGGAGTTCAAGTCAGGTGGTCTACTGCAAATCCGAAAAGGTACATAGTGTTTGTTTCGTCAGATTTCGCCTGACCAATGGAACAGTGGAGAAATCTAACAGTTGACAATTCGTGTAGGATGATCTGTGTGAAATGCATGAGTTAAAAAGGAAAAGCAACTTGACATCAAGTTAACCAGCGAACCTGTAAACTCAACAAAATATCCACGTCAAGACAAAATTACGTCCTCGTACTCGGGGAAGAATTCAATCAAAATTTGGAACTAGATAATGCGTTGGGAGTCAAGCAACCAGTGCGCCTCAGATCAACGGGACAAAGAAACGTCCATGAGACAGACGCTAGCCAATGGAAAGCAAGAGCTGACTACACAGTCAAGTCACGTGGACCCATCGACTCTGGACGTTCGAATCAGAAACTGACCAATAATCACTTTGATCTGAAAATTCCCCGCGTAAATCGCAACATTGATGTCGTCTAGCCTGACCTTGAAAAAGTCTGCAGCTAAATCACAAAGCTCGGAGAACCTCCGAATGCACTACGAATTATATCCGTCTACCTTAAGTTCGAGGAGACTGGTGAGCACAATGTTTATCTGCATCTTCTCATCACTCGATGAACAAAATACGCACCACATCATGCGGATGGTATAATGTATTGTGGGGCCATTTTTAAAAGGTGGTGAGCGTGGGAGCAGAAATGCCGTGCCAAAAGAGCGTCCGGCTGCATTATATCCGGCTATATTGAGTGACCAGTTTCTATTGCTGGCCCCTCACTTGGGTGCTGCGGCTATATTTAAGAGGGCGTCAGCAAAAGTGGATAATAATACAAATAAATAAATCGCCAGCTGTACGCGGTAACAGCGCCTCGCTGCCGCGCGATCACCACCAGTCACCCGAGGGCTGAGTATACCACGAGGACGCCCACCCGTACGCGGATAGGAACAGGCGACATTATGGTTGCAAACCAGGCGTGCAGACCACTTAGCCACCGGCCGATAGAATGATGTCATATTGTAGACGCAAATAACCTCCATTGTACACTCCTAGGATACTAAGTCTTACTTCGTATGATAGATGTAACAACCACGTAAAATGTATGGTTTCCCTTCGTTGTCGGATCATTATCGGTTTTTGTATGGCGAACAAATGACGATTTGTCTCTAATGATTCCCGCCATCATCTGTTAAAGCACAAGCATTATAGCAAAGTTAGAGGCCGAGCTCTCACATTGGCGGAATAACACAGTTGGCTGGAGTGTCTGGACATAATAGTTTCTCGTTACTTTTTTCACACTTGCAATTTGCTCCCAGAAACTTCCGTCTGAAAGATAGTTTTGATAACGCAATGGACGAATTATAACATTTCATGTAGCATGTAGGACCCATAGGCAAAGTAATAAACCAAGCCACATCAGCCCACACAATTTTCGTGGAAAGAAAGATGTGCTAGCCCCGTAAATTATACAAATCAGTGTGCGTACGTAATTTGATTGAACTTTTGAGTTACAAGTTTATTTAAATAGTTGCCGACCAATATATTCTGCTTTCCGTGTTTCTTTGAAAACCTTCACCGACAATTCGACAGCACAAGTTAAACTTCGTCTAGTTTATCCGCACCATACAGTACATCAACGTCAGGAAACCAATCTGGCAATGAAGACCTTACAAAATAGAATCAGAGGTAGAATTTCATAATTTATGCAAAACCAAGGTTTACTATCAGTTGCCGTTCCCTAGCTTTTTCCCAACTCGTGAATATGCGCAGGATGGATTGATAAAATAGCATCAGTACTACGCCGGTACGCAGTACCGACGCTTCGCTGCCGCGCAACCAACACCGGTCACACGTGGGCTAGGATAATGCGTGTGTCGACCTGCCCCTACACAGGCTTAAACCCGCGCCGCCAGATTGCAAGACAGCCTTGTTACCTTTAGGCTACGTGCCGGCGGATGGATTGAGAGCGTTCCAAGCAACTTCTGATGAGCTCCGGATGATACTGTTATTTTAAACAGCTTATCAGCGTTGTGTTGAGAGATTACGGTGTGCTTAAGCAGAGGACGCTTGTCTGGTCTAAACTCGCAGGTGACAAATCTAGGTAGTCGATGTGGAAACAC